AAATGCTTAAAATTCCCCAGTCCAGTATGGGGCCCTCCTATCGTAGGCCTACCCTACTTGAATGTACCTGATGGACTGAGACGGGTATAGAAATTGCAGCCAGAAATTAACCCGGTTTCTGTCACTGACAGTGTGTGTCCTCCAGTGTTGGTGTTTGGTTGTGTGTTGTGAGGATGTCGGGTTAGGGGTTAGTGTTGTGAGGATGCTGGAGGTCATCGTCCTTGCCTTCAAAGTGCTTATAAATAGGACCAGCAGAGCTCTTGGTTCAGAGGGTGCTGTCTTGCACCTCTTCATCATACAGTGGCTTCTGTATCACACAATAAAAAATGAAAGAAAATATATAAATCAACAGCATATTTATTCTGAAAGCACAAATGTTTTCCAGCCTCAAGATCCCAAGAGTTTCTCCAGACAATTATAAATACTCAATCTTTATTAATAGGAGCAAAGGATAAATTACTTCTTGCAATCCAGACATTGCTCCAGAGAGACGTACTGGGAATTTCCAATTTACATAAAAGTTGTTTTCCGGAAGTTTACTTTCACATCATTTATTTTGAGCTTGGGCTGCAGTTCCCCAGAGAAAAAGTGATATGTAGTAATAATAAGCTAACATTTTAATAAACCTTTTTTTTTTCCTTGTTTATTGAGCACTTTGGAGAGAATGAGTGCAAGGCTTTCGAGCCAACCAGCCCTTCACATCCAGGTTCTGCCCTTAGACAAATTACTTGATCTCACTGATCTATGGGGAGTTTTTTAAATGGGGATGAAAATACCAACCTCCCAGGATTGTTGAAAATGAGACAAGCCAGTGCCAGGTGCATGACTCATGCTGTCTCTCATCTCCTGCCCCTGCTGTGGTTTTATGAGTACAAGAAGGACCACCACTTGCGGTGGGAACAGATAAAGAGGAAAATCCCCTTGCACTAAGTAGGACATTATCTCCATTTTTTTAGGGTTCATTTTGTACAGTAACCCTAGCTGATGTGGTGCTTCTCTCCTGCCGTGGAATGTTTCTTGAGCTCACGATGTGAACCAGGCACTGTTAATCACTGTTAGTGACCCCACAGTTAGTAGCTGGTGGAGCTCGGTTCCCAGTCAGTGCCATCCAACTTGAGTCTAGCCTTACTCTCCTGTACCACACTGTCCCGTGGTTGGTTACGTTTTTCCAAGGCAGCTTTAATCTAGTGGCAAGACAGATTACTGACGTGGAAAATAAACTGGGTTCTGCATCTGTCTCTATCCCTGTCAGATCTAAACCTTTGCCCCATCCAATTGTCTGTAAAATAGTTCTAGTTAAAATCTGTGTCCAAACCATTGGTGTGGGGGGAGGAAGGCTCTTGATTTTCTGTAACATAAGGTTAGTATATTCCCTTTCTGAGCTGCCAAGATCTCATCTTTGTACCATTTCACCGTAAAAAGAATCAAGTTTGAAGTCAGATATTCTTAAATGTATTCTTAAATATGTAAAAATTTAAAACTTTGATGATTCCGATCCTTAAGGCCCTCATGCTCTGGCTGTGTGGAGGCATGAGTGGAGAAAGTTCTTGGAAAGATGACCACAGAATTTTTTTTTTTTTTAAATCACATTGGAGGTGGTGAGGGTTCTTCCATGTTGACATGCCTGGTGCAGTTAAAGAAACCAGACACAAACACAGATCTAACCTGGCTCAGCAGGTAACGTGCTCTGTGACCTTGAGCGTGTTGCTTGAAGTTTCCCCATTTGTAAATGGGCTGTGACAGGTGTGTAACAAAAAGTCCAGACATCTCATTTCCTTAAGTATTGAAGCCTTTAGAATTGAAGGAGGGGTGGGGCGCCTGGGTGGCTCAGATGGTTAAGCGTCTGCCTTCGGCTCAGGTCATGATCCCAGGGTCCTGGGATCGAGTCCTGCATCGGGCTCCCTGCTCCTTGGGAGCCTGCTTCTCCCTCTGCCTCTCTCTCTCTGTCTCTCATGAATAAATAAATAAAATCTTAAAAAAAAAAATAGAATTGAAGGAGGGGTAAGAGTAGGAAATTTCTTAAGACTTTTTGAATTGGGGTTGTGGTGGAGGGAGTAGTTGTGCAAAACCAGAGACTTTAATATGCCGATCAAAGTGTCGTCCTTGCGACTAGGGCTGTCCAGACGCCTTAACTTTTCAGCCTTGACACAGTATTTCCAAGAAGTTCAATGCAGTTTCATTTCCAGAAAAAAGACAGCCGGAAAAAATGGGGAAACCAGAAAAGTGAGGAATTTTTTATAACATTTAAGTAATTTCCAAAGGCTCTTCTGGTACCTTTTATTCCCTTTGCCTTTTTATCTCTGTGAAAGTGAACTTTTATAAAAATAATGTAACGAGGATGGAGAAAATGACTTAGAATTGTGCATTTCATCATCTCAGAATCCAGGTGTCAGATCCATTTAACTCAAGTATTCTTTAAAATATTATGATCTGCCAGAAATCAAGCCAGACACTTCATGATTCAAAATAACTGTTTTACTCTCCCTTCCCACCTCTCCAGTTCTCTGTGTATTTCATTCTTCACCCAGTGCAAAATGGGTGAGTAGAAACCCTAGCAAAGTTCTTCACTGCAGTATCTACTAGTAACTAAATCACTAGAATGCCTGTTCATTTCTTGTGAAATGCTACATTAAGACTTTCTTGAATTGTCACTTATTATGAAAAGTAGCATCTCAGCAGCTTTAAGCCCACATGGGTTAACAAACTTGGTGGTGGTTCTTTTTTTTTTTTTTTATTCTTATGTTAATCCCCATACATTACATCATTAGTTTTAGATGAAGTGTTCCATGATTCATTGTTTGTGCATAACACCCAGTGCTCCATGCAGAACGTGCCCTCCTCAATACCCACCACCAGGCTAACCCATCCCCCCACCCCCCTCCCCTCTAGAACCCTGTTTGTTTTTCAGAGTCCATCGTCTCTCATGGTTCGTCTACCCCTCCGATTTCCCCCGCTTCATTCTTCCCCTCCCGCTACCTTCTTCTTCTTTTTTTTTTGGTGGTGGTTCTTAATGGCCAGATGAGTAGGCTTGACCCCCGGGAAAGTTAGAATACAGTGGTGGTCTGGGCTTGCCTGCCCTGACTTCTTTGAAGACTGGTTTCTCAGGAGCCACTCCCTAATCGTGGGGCAGAGGAGTCCTCGCCACACATATAGGGAATGATAGGAGTCTGCAGCAACCTCGCCAGAGCCACTAAACATGGCTATTTGCTGATGCCAGGCCTAGCTCAAAATACCTTAAAACACAGCTGAGGCCATGGTGAACCCAGCTGGCCAGAGTAGGGGAGCAGTGCCTCTGAGGAGGGCCACCCAGACCACTCCCAACCCAGGTGCACGGGTGCCCTGAATGTTCATGATGAACATTCGAGGACTAGGATGCATTAGGTAGGAAGTAAGGTGATAGAACAGGCAGGAAGCTCGGAAAGGAGCATTTGGGGATTCAGGATGAAAGTGCTAGATGATGGGTTTTAGAGCTGTGTTGGGTGGTTTTTATGAATTCTATTCCGGGGCCAGTTCTAAGTACACGAATGCAGGAGCACATGTGCTGGACAGTGGACCCAAACCACACTGACATCTGGAACTTCAGCATCTGGTGAATCCTAGCAGTGGCATGGCTGCTTTTAAAACGCTCCAATTGAGTCCCATAGGACTGACCCCACAAAGTTCTTTGTTGAAATCTTTGATGCTCTGCACAGATTAAGCATATAGAGCCATCTGCATACTTTATATACATAATAGAACCATCTAATTTATACTTTTCGGTTCCCAAGAAGCATTTCTTGTTCTTTTTGTGGATTTAAGTGTAATTACTTTACTGGATAATTACAGAAGGGGATGGAAGACACAGGATGTTCCTACATACTTGCTAAGAGAGCTAAATCTTTTTGGTGTTGTTTTTTACTTTGATCAGCAGCTTCAATTCCTTTCATTGCTCTGAGTTTCTGAAAGCTTGATTTTGAAAATTAAATAGGGATAAGGAAGTTTTTGGGTTTTTATTTTTGAGTTTTAAAAGGGTTAAAGTTAGTAGGGCTTTGCCTATCCATGGCTGATCTAGCTGCTTGTTATACTGCCACCCTCTGTTGAAGTTTCTTTTGACAGGCATTGATGACTGAATAAAGGAAAGTATCTTGGATGTAAAATTCAGCTAACCAGGAAAGTTTGATTGAATAAAACAGTAAGCAGCTAGCAATTAGCTAAAAACTAACTCAACTTTTGTAAAAATTAAAATTCAAACTATCTCTTCTCAATGGAAAGTACTTGAGGAATTAAAACTGCATTATTATTTTAAAATTGTTATTGCTTATTGAACACCTACATACTAAAGATAGGTGTCATTTGTGTATTTTAGACATGGTACAAAATATCAGTGTGTATTAAGGTTTGTATAAATAATTGGCAATTCAGGGTTTACTAAAATTTTGGTGACAGTAAATTCTGCATATGTTTTTGTAGGCAACAAATGCAGAAATTAAAGTAGATATTCCCCCCAAAATCACCCTGTGATATTTACTGAATGCAGAGCTGACAGCCCGAAAGTAGGCCAATTGGACTAACCTAGATCTTCCAAAAATAACTTGACTTCTCTTTTAACTTTCTCATTATGATAGACTTCTCTTCCAAAAATTTGACAAATGAGAGGACTGAGAACTCATGTCAAAAGTTTTTCTCTTCATATTTCTGGTTCTGTTGAAATGAAATATGGTTCCTGGAAGTCAGACAAAATTTCCATCACTGGATTTTATAAACTGATTTGGATCATCTTAGGTAAAACTTAAATTAGACCTTGCGGTAAGTGATTATACTTAATTGGCTTAGCGCTTGGTCCAGAATTAATAACGGGCAACACAACTTGTGCCTTATTCAAACCAGGTCGTAGTTTGGAGCTGGCGTACATCGGAAGTTCAGTCCACAGGTTAACCTCACTGCCCCAAATAAACATTCCTTCTAGTTCCCTCTCTGAAGGTGTCGCTTTTCTCTCTCTCTCTCCCCCCTGCTCTCTCCAGGGACCCTCTGAAAATCCAGCAACTCCAGAACCAAATCCGACTCGAGCAGGAGGCCAGTGCGCGGCACCCCCCGCCCGCCGGCGCCCC